ATGAACAGAAGCATTCGTGACCCGAGGTACCACTGTATTTGGGTTACTGTTCAAACGTCCGTTGTCCAAAGAGTTGACTTGTGGAGGATGTATGCTGTGCACACACACAAGGGGGTGGATGGCTCTTCATTCTGTGCTTCATTTCTTTAGCACAAGCATTTTACAGAAGACATTCAGACTCGCCAATATCGGGCTTTGGAGGTCCTGATTGGTGCCGTCTACAGCACTCCAGCCGATATCTGGAGTACAGCATGTATGGTACGTTCAAGGGTTTCTTCCCCAACTTCTGTGTTACTTTTAAGCCAAATTCTGCTGGCAATTGCTTTTATGCAGAATAGATAGAATAGATTTTTAATTCCAACACATCTATCAGTGTAATTTGCAGCTAACCACTGGCTGACATACTTTTCAAGTTCTGCTGTGAATTTCCTTGCAACAACAAGTAATTTTGTCACCTAATTCATTACCTTATAAACCAACTGGCTCACAGTTTCTTCACCTCCCTGTGGTGGTTGTGATAATAAGCGAACTTGTTTTAAGTTGAATATGTAAAATGTTAGGTAGTTGCTTGTTTGTATTTATAAGATAATAACTTTGCATTTAAAGCAGTAAAACAGAACAAAAGCCCTTATCAAATCCTAAATGAATTATTTTAGAAATCTTAATCTAATCACCCAAAACCAGTAGGTAGATTTTTCCTATACTTCATGGACAGATAGATACTCTTAAACTCACAGTAAACAACTTCAAAAAGCTTCTTGTGATGCTTTTAAAATATGATCAAGTCACGCGTGTGAATTGTGTGTTTAGGAGTCACAACCTGGATAAATCACCTGAAATCTTCGATGACATTGTCAGTAGTCTGAGGGGGTAACCTACCACTCTCTGGTGCTGATGAGTAGCACGTTGCTGATTCCAGCCTTAAGCTAACCATGTAATCGCGTGTGCTGAAGCTGATTTTAGATGACCACTGAATAATACGTAAAAATCATGCCAGTGCAGTCCTCCTGTTTGTAGCCTTGGGATCTGATTTTTAGGGTGTGATGAAACAAATATTCAAGCACTGCTCATAGCTCTTGATGAAGTGTTACGAATTGGTTGAGAATTGGAATCCTAAAGATGATTCATCTGAAAAATCATGGGCTCTGGGGAAGGGGAGATACCTTTTAGCTCCACGGGTACTATTATCCCTGTAGACAAGCATAAATTCCCTCTCTCTTTTATTCGGCAGGCTTTTGAGTTGGCAACCGGGGACTATCTCTTTGAACCTCACTCTGGAGAAGATTATACAAGGGATGAAGGTAGAGAGCACTGGCTCGTTGAACCAAGGAGGGTGGTGGGTGTGGGGTGATGCCGCAGATTTGCATGTAGCGTGCTGGAACACTGGAGGGTTATGCTGGGAAAAGGAACTGGACTGACCTTTTTTGAAAATCTGGCCATGAAAGGAAATGCTGAGAAAACAGAGTTTCAGTGTGGAAAGGGAAATGGAGAACCCATATAGATCTGAACTGGGCAGGTGAAGATTTCTAGGGATATGTTAGTCCAAGATCACTCCACATTAATTATCCCTCACCATCTTTTATATTGCTACCAAGGAGGAATCCAGCATAGGTTCTTTACCTGACATTCTTTTTTTTCAATTTGCATCCCCAGCCAGATATTCAGAGATCTGGAAATAGCAGGCAGTGTCTCAGGCTTATAACTCCAGAGTTCCCCTGTATTCATAGACTATAATATAACTGAGTGGTCGCACCATACGTGGCCTCATGGCACTGATGCTTTCCTTCTTGCAGATCATATTGCCCACATTGTTGAATTACTTGGCGATATTCCCCCCCACTTTGCTCTTTCAGGGCGCTACTCGCGTGAGTACTTCAATCGGCGAGGTAAGTTGGAAAAAGTAACATTGGAGGGTGATCTTTTAGAGTAAGGTTCCTTAACCTTGGCCACTTGAAGATGTGTGGACCATGCTGGCGGGGAATTCTGGGATTTGAAGTCCACACATCTTCAAGTGGTCAAGGTTGAGGAACAGTTTTAGAGGAAACTTTGTTCCAGTACATATGTGTTCAAAGCTTGCTTATAGGAAGAGGGTTGAGAAAGGTAAAGTTCTACTGAACAAAACCTGGTATAGGGTGAAATAAGCTTGGAAAAATTTAAGCTTTCTGATGAACTAGTAGAAACAATGGTCTATCCACTTGCAGTAAATTGCATGAAGGTTGCAATGTTTATTGTGGTGGGATCTAGAATGAAGTTGCTTTCATGCAGAAGCAGCTTCTAACACTTTATGTCACTGCTATTTGTCGGTGCCTTTAAGATATGACCTGCTGACCATATTCTCCATTCTGATTAACATATAATATGATGTACTTAGATGTTCTCGTGTACCTGTGGCCTTGTACAAATGGTGAACATAGAATATGTTAGATCTGTCTTCTGATCACTTCACAATGTTACCGTGTCAGCTGAGGCCTTTCCAACTTTTCCATTCATTTGCCTGTCTTGCCAGGGGAACTACGTCACATAAAGAACCTGAAGCACTGGGGACTCTACGAGGTCCTGGTGGAGAAATATGAGTGGCCTCTTGAACAAGCAGCCCAGTTCACGGACTTCCTGTTGCCCATGATGGAGTACATCCCAGAAGAGCGTGCTACAGCTGCCCAGTGCCTCGAGCACCCATGGCTAAATTCTTAGGGACAAATCTTGCTCAAGCAAACTGATTGATGAAGTAAGGGGACTCTGGCCCACATGGAGTTTCCTGGCTCATGGTGTAGCCCTCTTTGCTGGAGTGATGATGTGGGGAGGAAGAATTCCTCTTAGTTCCAAGATTGGAGACTCTGGCTGATTAAACCAGGGTTTGTATGGCTGGACTGGAATCCCACACATCACTTTGTGGCTACTTCTGAAGCACAAATGGAAGATGACCGGGATCCCTTGCCCACACTTTCGTTGCATATGCCTTCTTGGTTGACAATGGCCATCTTCTCTAGGTGCCGTTGATTGATTGATGCTGTTTGACTGTTTTTAACCAATTCTGAGATTACTTGCAGATTTTTTTCTCCCTTTTAAGGTATATGTTTAAAGGTTCCCACCCTTAAACTAAACAAGTGTGGCAGAAAAGTAGTTTGAGAGGGATGGATATGTGCAAGGTATTAATAGGTGGATGGTGAGTTGGACGTGCCTGAGTGTTGGAGCAAGAAGCTGGAAACAGTTGCCGATTTCTTATTCAAAAGCTTTTTTCTGAAGAAAATATATCCCTTCCCCTGCCCAAACTTCTAAGCCTCTAGGAAATGTGGCCTTTTTTGAGCAAAACCTGTTACGCAAGTGAATGAAGTTTTGTAGAGTTACATGATGTTGACGTAGAAATTCAAAAGTGGAAGTATTTAGAGGGGTGAGAGAAAGAAGCCCATGGAAAAAGAAGTAGAACTATGTCAGTAGCAAAGTGGAAGAGGAAGGATTCATACTCCAGTGGGTTCTCAGTACCTAGATAATGCTATCAGGCATTTGCTGGGAAGATTCTCCAGAATTGTGATCAACAGCTGAATAAATAGAAAGATGTAGTAGTATCCCTCCTCCTTCCATGAGCATTTATGGTTCCTTCTTCATATTACTAGGCTACAGCCCCTAATATGCATGCTCTTCACTATTCAGGGGCTGAGTAACTGCTCATAATTTGGTATTTTGAGAACCTCAACTAAAAAAGTTCTAGCCCTCATTGCGGTTGGGAAAACATTTTTGCAAAGGTATGTAGTAATTTTTTTAGCAGTCTGGTTTTTCTATATGCCTTGTGATGTCCAATGTTTTTACTTCTACACGGTTTCATTTCCTTTAGCCCATTTTTTATCCAATTTTTGAGATGATTAGGAATAGAGAATAATCCTCGTATCATTGGTGTTTGCAGAACTTGGGGGGGAAGCAAGCTAGCTGTATGTGTGCGGTTAGTGTATTTTCATGGTGGATGTTTGGGGTTGTTCAAATTGTTGCCATCTTGGGCTGCTATTGCAACTCCTGTCCTGATTTTCAACACTTGCTACTTGTGATTAGCATTTTTTTTTTCAGCGAAAGAATGGCTGCTCCCAAAGGCTTGACCCAGATGAGCAAAATATTCAAGCTACTTTGTGCCTTTACAATGGAGCCTACCTATTGTTTGTGATGCACTGAATAGGGGAGGAAAAGTGAGAACTGTTACATATAAGCCTTTCTCTCCCACTCCTCTCCCGAGTGTCCTAGGAAAGGAAAGGAATGCGAAAGAAATAAAGATCTGGAGCCAGGCGTAAAGGCAATGTTCCACGCCCTTCCTTTTCCTAGAGATACAATATTGGAGCAAAGTCGGTTGGAGTTAGATTCCTATTTCTGTGGAAACTAAATTCAGCTGTCAGTCTGGAGTCAGTGGTGTAAAGCTGGAACTAGAAGACGTGGTTCTGATTCTCCTGAACACTCCAGTCTCAACCTGTGGCAGTGAATGGGAAACATCTGGGTGAAAATGTTGTTTATACCAAAGTTGAGCTGCACCAGAACCAAACCCAGTGAGAGCGAGGCAACGCTGTTTTCTTGCACTGTTATCTCCCTGATGAGAAGCCATGGCCTTGCTTTAGAGGTGGCCCATGTGTGCCAGTGTTGGGGGAAAGTATGTGTGGAGGTGTTTTGAATGCTGTGCTGTTACAGGGATTGAATTCAGAATTTTTCATTAAAATATTTGCAATAACGTTTGGATCTTCTTTTCTGCGGACAAACTGTAACAGGGATGGGAGCAGGAACAGCCCAGTTAGAGTTTCCTACAAGGACAAGGATTTTGAAATGAAAAAATGTTTGCAGTTTTGGTGTTACTGTCTTAACAATTAATACAGCTGTTCTCATTTAAAAGAAAAGTAATCCTGCTGCAGAACTCAGCATGGATTTTAGAACAAATTTGGACAGTTGAGCAAGACCAGCTTAAAAGGACATTAAAATTGCTAGCATCACCTTCTGTGCAAATGGCATCTAATGCAACGGTGAGTGAAGTGTGATGCCTCTAGCTGGTGGTCACTGAGCTCCAAACGTTTTTACACTACCTCACGTTTGGTGAGATCTTATAAAAATTAAGGCATTTTTATTGTATTTATTTTTTAAATAACATTTATTGAAGCCTGTAAAATCAAATTAGGTCATTTTCTGGTTACTACCAGAAAACTTATCTAACCCTTCTGTGTATCAAAATGGAGACAATAAGATGTAGAGCCCAATGGCTCCTTCGAACCTCCATTCTGCCAGCAGCACTAGAGTTAAGCAAACTAGAAAATATATATTATTATGTATATTATTCCTATGTTGGGGGAAAATGCATTGTAGTAAGTCTGAGCTTTTATTTTCAAAATCAAAATATAGTTCTTTTGCAATGTGGTTCACAACATTCCCAATTCCCGACTGAATAGCCAGTTCTGTTTCAAAGTACGTGATCTGGCTACTGTTATCCAGACCTTGACTGTATCCACCTTCAGGATACTTCAATATCCATTTTTATTCCGTGATATTCCATTTTACTTTTATTATTGTGTTTTTCTATCAACCAGACTAAAAATAAGAGTCCAAAAGACCTCTCTGTTTACATTTATTATCTCTAGTTCAGGGAGCTGGGTGGGCAACATTAACTTACACACTATATACAGAAGAGGGATACTGTACTTGAATAGTTTGAAATGAAAAGGTCTACACCATTCAAAAGAGTTGCTCCTTTGCTTTTACTGAAGTAGGAATGGGTGTCTGCTTTGGTCTTGAGCTTCGTTCACTATTAAAAAAAAGCAAATGTGTTAATAGCATTAGATGGAGACTATCAGTCCAGTCTTTTAGGACAGAGTCAGGCTATGAAAAGTATACTGTGAAATCGCCACCCTGCAAGAGAAAAATCTAGGGCAGGGGAGGTGACATTTGGTCCTACCTACAGTGACCTCGACTACATTTTCCTTGGCTTTTTTTATAGTAAAACCATAAAAAACCCTAGAACATTTTCTCCATCAGGCATCGTCCAGCTGCCTTGGGTCACAATTTCCAAACTTTCTGTCATAGAGAGCTGATGGGAGTAAAAGGCAATCTATGTGACCAGTATCATATTGGAGAAGGCTGCAACACCTGTGCCCACCATCCCTTCCCCCTTTGCTTTAAATCCACTCCCTGCTAAAAATAAATGCAGCTATGTCCATGTCCTGCATGCTCTGTAGCCCAAGCAAGCAATTCGTGAACTGCCACTGCAGCCCCACCCCCAATCTAGGAACTTCATCCTAATAGTCTCTTACCTGTGCCAGGTTAGAACTAGGCTTGGTGATCTGTTTCAAAATTGACTGAACAGCTGCTGAGGTGGTACCCTGGCCCCCAATATCCGGCGTGTGGGTCTAGAGAGACGAAAATATAGAAATTACATTAAGCCAGCCTCACTCTCAACTGCATTGTAGCAATAGGTCCCTCACAGTTGAAGTCCAGTGCTGGCCTTTTACAACTACAGTTCCCAAGCGGGGGGGGGGGGGGGGGG